GCGCTATAGGGGAACTGATCAACTACACTGGCCGTAGTGTGTGTGTGTGTGTGTGTATGTATATGTACAGAACTTGTCTGTAGACCTCCGAGACAGAATTGTCTCGAGGCACACGGCTGGGAAAGGTTACAGAAAAATTTCTGCTCTAAAAATTCCAATGAGCACAGTGGCCTCCATCATCCATAAGTGGAACATGTTTGGAATCACCAGGACTCAAGGCCTTAGTCAGGGAGGTGATAAATAACCCGATGGTCACTCGGTCTGAGCACCAGCGTTCTTTTGTGGAGAGAGGAGAACCTTACAGAAGGACAACCATCTGTGCAGCAATCCACCAATCAGGCTTGTATGGTAGAGTGGCCAGACGAAAGCCACTCCCAGCCTGGAATCTGCCAAAAGGCATCTGAAGGACCCTCAGACCATAAAAAACAAAATACTCTGGTCTGATGAGATTAAAAATTAACTCTTATGAGTGAATGCCAGACGTTATGTTTGGAGAAAACCAGGCACCGAATGGTGGGAATGTGGAAAAAGTGAAACTATGAATACTTTCCGGATGCACTATATATATACACGCATCGATGTCTATGTTTATTTGTACATTAAATGACAGCAGTCACAGGCTATATGTGTGTTTGTACAGTAAGGTGAGCTTACTAATCCTTTATTTGTGGTGAATGGTGAAATGCAACCAGCGCTGAAACATAGATTTGTGACACATTATTTCTTAAAGTGTGTGAGCGAGTCTAACCTGGGTGTGAGCAGAGAGTTGTTAAGTACGACACACTCCAGGTTTTGTGCATTTGTCCGAATGGGGGTTTTAGTGGTCGTAGGGCGGCTCTGATAAACCAGGTTTTCCTGAACCACACCTCGAGCCAGCTGCTTCACAGAAATCCCATACCCTCGCACCGCCTGAACACGATTCCTCAACACCTGCAAAACACAAAGCAAACGTCAACATATGATAGCAGAGACATTTTTTACGACATTTGCAGGTAACACAGTACTCGAGCTGTGTCCAAAACCTTTGCTAAACGGGTAGACTTCAATGATAATAAATGAATGGTTACAAAGCTTATAACCATTCACTTTAGTTTAGGTCACAATTCACAGATTTAAACTATTAACTAATACTACCAACTTAATAAACATCTACTTCGCCGTTTATTACTAGTTAGTAAGATAGAAGTTGTGTTTTTGTTTTGGGTAGGATTGAGGATGTAGATTAAGATCATACATTATATTATGAACAGTTACTATCTTAATAACAGGTCAGCAATAAGCAAGTAGCCAATAGCATAAATTGTGACGAAAGTTAATACACACACATACAAGTTGCCTCCTTTAATGTCTCTATAAGACATGTGATTTTATAAATATGAAACTGTTTCAATCATATAATTCATGCTTGAGCTTGACTGGCATTTATTTTATGTAACAGGAGTTTCTCAAGGTAATCCTTATTTTTATTAACAACAATGTTGCATTAAAAGCTATTTTTATAGTCAAATAATAATCATAATATAAAACTTTTGCGGGCTGCATGGTCGCGCAGTGGGTAGCCTCACAGCAATAAGGTGGCTGGGTCAGTTGGCATTTCTGTGTGGAGTTTACATGCTCTCCCCGTGTTGGTGTGGGTTTCCTTCGGGTGCTCACAGTCCAAAGACATGCCATAAAGGTGAACTGAATAAACAAAATTGGTCGTAGTTTATGAATGTGAATGAGTGTATTGATGTTTTCCAGTGATGGGTTGCAGCTGGAAGGGCATTCGCTGTGTAAAACATATGCTGGGTAAGTTGGCTTTTCATTCTGGTCTGGTGACCCCGGGTTAATAAAGGGACTAAGTCAAAAAGAAAATGAATGAATAAAACTTGCAATCTTGTTTTTGCGAATTGTGTAAATAGTTAGATATGTTGTTATTATAATAAAATAATAACAAAAGATTTTAAAACTAATAAGATCATCAAATTGATAAATATAATAACAATAAACAGTATCAATGTGTCATGCATCAGTAATATTGATCTTCTGATTTAAAAAATAATTTATTAATCATTATTTATGCATAATAATAATTACATATTATTACTACTAGTAAACTGTCAAATAACAAGAAATGTATTATGAATTATTTTTATAATTAATTATTTATTATTAGTACTATAATGGGAAATTGAAGTGTTAGTAGTAGTGAGTAGGCATGGGCCGGTATATGATTCTGACGGTATGATAACCTTGGATAAAAATATCACAGTTTTACGGTATTGTGATCACTGCTCTCAAATATATTCTTTTTAAATGTCTGGGTAAAAAAAAAACAAAAAAACTTTTTTTTCCCTTTTTAAGACAATAACATTTAAATTATTTTGGAGCAGTAAACATGTCATGCTAAATAATTCAAATGAATCATTGACTTCTGCCATCTTCATTAGTTTCAAAAACACTGATGTCATTGCAATTTAAAATGGCATCTTTTGATATCTTTTCTGCTGGAAACGTAAAAAATAAATAAATGTAAAAAAAAATATCTTAGGAACCTTAGGAACGGTATAACAGAAAATGTTGGTGGTTTTAAAACCTTGACTTTATACCTTGAAAAAGGTTATCGTGACATTATGATAGTAATAGTGCACAACAATATCAGTTTACTTTACTATCACTCACTATCAGGGCCGGAGTGGGACTCTTTTTCAGCCCTGGAGTTTCAAGCCTCAGACCGGCCCACCTCAGTTCACCACTGACTATATTAAAATAAGGTTATTTCCAATTCAGTTTCTAATTACACTATCACGTCTTTTTTTGAGAAAACAGCTCTTTTAGAACTTCAAATGGTCAACAACCCTTACAGTATTGTCTTAACAATAAAAATGAAAAAAAAAAAAAAAAAATGTTACTCAGACAAGGACCGAACCCAGGTTGGCCGCATCATAATCTAACGTACTAACCACTGTACCACAACAGCTGTACGTTGTATCTAGTTATATCATCATTAAACTGCAGGCTGCATCCTGCTCACGAGGCTACAAGAAAATAGATAAAAAGAGCAGAGCTGCGGTAAAATAATGAATAAGAAGGCTGTGGTCAAGTAAATAAATAAATTATTTTTAAAAAAAGTGTGACTGCTGAGAGCAACCGATTCTGGAACTAGGGACACCGGCCCTCGCGGCCAAAAAACGGACCGGCCCACCGGGAATTCTCCCGGTCCTCCCGATCAGCCAATCCGGGCCTGCTCACTATTATTACTAGTAGTAGTAATTAATACAATTAGTATTAATAGTATTACTGTCAAAATGCTAAACTGAAGGTTTAGCTAAAATATTATATAAATTATTATTATTATTAGTCGTAGTAAAATATTAATAGTAATTATTAACAGCATTACTGTCAAGATGAAAAACAAAACAAAAAAGTTTAGCTAATAGTTAAATAAAAAATAACCACTAACAAAAACATCCAGTATGACTATTGCTCTAAAAAACAAACTCTGTCATTGTTTAATATTACTACACATCAACAAAGAGCATTTACCTTTACTGCCTGTGAAGAAAACATTTTACACATTACCTTTTTAACCTTGTGACAGATTGAGTGACTGTATCTGTACATATACTACCACATGTATGCATTATACATACACTGTATATATACACTCACTTTAACATCGGCATTGTCCATCACTCGTATTCCCCCAGTAGTGTTGTCCACCACATCGTTTTCCACAATGAGCCCATCTCCTCTGAAGCAGACGCCGTGACAGGTATTGCCGTAAACTCCATTTCCGCGCAGCTCCACTCGACATTCTCGGTCAACAGAAACTCCTGTCCAGCCATTACAGAGGACACAGTTCCCGACCAGACGCGTGAGCTGAGCGCTCTGAATCACACACACACCGGCTCCTCTGTTACTCTTCACCATGTTGGACACCACATTCAGAGGCTCACTGCTCTTCACAAACACTCCCACAGCTGGAAACACACACAAACACAAAGGACTGTTGTTAATATGCAGATGCACTGCCATTCTCAACTCTGTTTAAGCTAGATATTTATACATAGAGTACTTTCAGGTAAGGTTATATACAGTGCATCATTGAGGAGAAATAAAACACATTTTATAGGGCTTTTTACTGAATAGTGCTTTCATTATACATCAATTTGAAGTCTTATGACTTCCAGATGTTACAAAAATGAATTTTTAAAAGTTAGTCAAAATAAAAAATAATAGTTACAGAGCTTACTTCTTAGTATTACATTTCTAAAGTATCAAAAAAGTGCTAATTTCTAAAATATTGAAAAACTATTTCAAATAAGTTACCTCCTTTAACCACTCCTTTAGGCAAAATTATGCGTGTTATTTTTTATTGGTTTCATTCTTGTGATTCATGCAAGTTGAACTAGCATTCCTGGGACATAACAAGAGTTTGTGAGGGCTTTAAATATTATTCTTATTATTAACAATAATATAAATATCTGTACATACATAATAACTATGTTCCAAAGCACATCTTTTATTGTATTCAAATACAAACAACAACAAAAATGTTTAGCAAGTTAGACAATTAAACAAAAGTTATTTAAACAGTAAATTAATGATGAAAATATATAATTAATGGGATCATCAATAGGGATACATGTACAATGACAAGTAAATAAAGTAATTTACTTCTTAAATAGTAAAATAGGAAAAAAATATTGTTTAATCATCATTACAGATCCTTTATTATTAGTAGTATGATTAATAGTAGAAATGGTAGTGGTTTTATGCTATTATTAATAATTTATATTACAACAATATCAGCTTCATTTGATAGATTTAAAATGGTATAATTCATTTTATTGTAGTCTAACTATCAATTATTATTTGTTATTATTATTAATAGTAGTAGTAGTAGTAGTAGCAGCAGCAGCACTAAAGTGTTAATAATGTTGTTTTCACAATATTAACTTTAACAGTTTATAGAAACCAATGTGCTGTAAGATTAATAATAAAAGTAAAAATTCCAGAAAATAATTTATTATTAATGTATTAAAAAGATTTTTTTTTCAAGTTCATAAAAATTTTTATAGCTCCTTTAACATTAAAAAAAATATTTCCAAAGCAGTTTTACCAAAACAAATGGAGCCTCAAAAGGTTAAATAAACTGATAAATAAAAAGACTAAATAATCATTTTATTTTCATTCATTTTATTTTTATTCATTCATTCAAATTTAAAAGACCTGAAAAGAAAGGGCAAATCATATTTAACAAATTTTACAGCTATAAAATACACAAAATATATCTATAGAGCTCCAACTAAAATGAGCTTCAACTAAAATGAAAGAACAAATTCAGTTTTGTCCACAGTATCTTGCTTTTTTCCTACTAGTATCATGTGAAGACTTCAATAGTGATCACCAATTTAGTTTTGTTATTCATCAATTAATTCTTCATTAAGCTAAGCATCAGAAAACGATAATTCAGTCAGTATTTTTAACCATCGAGGTAAAGTTTGTTTTTATATTTACACATTCTGACCTTTTAATTCTCCTAATAATATAATTTTATAAAAGTTTTCTTTGTAAATTCTAAATGAGGAAATCATATTAGCAGCTAATGACTATCAAAATACAACACTATTCACAGAAAAATAAATAGTGCTACTGTTGTTTTAAAGTCATATCTACATGTGATTTCAGACCGAATAATCAAAATACTGTGGTAAACAATATAGGGAGCATATCACAAGCGGTCACTGAACAAATGTGCAAATATAAAACCAACTTTACCTCAATTTAAACATCCCTGCATTGTAAATAATGCTGGGTTCCACACAATCAAACTTAATAGTATTTACAAGTGGATTAAACATAAGACAAATAAGTTGTCCTAAAAAAAAAAAAAACTTAAGAATCGTTTTCTTTCAGCTTAATTGAAGTAAGCAGTTTGAACAAATGGCAGATATCTTTTTTTTAGTGTGAAGAGGTAAAATAGGCCAGAGACTAACCTCCATTTTGGCTAATGCAGTTGTTTTCCACCAGAGCAACTGTGATTGGCCGCCTGGAGGAAAATCGCTCATCTTCGCTGTCGATGTCACTCTCCCAGGCCATCAGTTCTCCTTCCTCGTTGAAGTTGTCCCGTTCTCCTCTGTCTCTGTCCTGTAATGCACGGTAGCCTTCCCGGTTCACGGCAGACTCTGTGTCCTTTCGGCAGAACACGGCCAGTCCATACATGCGGTTATGGGAAATGTGATTTCCAATGAGCTGAGGTAGACTAGATGACATTACCCATACTCCACAGCCTCTGTTGCCTACAACACAGAACAATTTCACAACCAAAATATGAATTATTATTGTCTTTTTTCCCTTTTTTGATCTAAACAATGATGACTATTCTCAATATATAGTAGTCAACATTTGAATGGGACCAAAAGGATTATAAAAATGGTGTAAATTTATTGAACAACATTATTCTGGTCTTAGGTCAATTCTTAAAAGCTTTTTGATCCACTTCAAATGTTGACTACTGTACTACTTTAGGTTATTAGTTAAATTAGATTAATAATGTTAAGATCATTCTAATAGTATTATATCTAATCAAATAATAAAAGCAGTTTTCAGCTTTAAATAAAACAAAAAATAAAAATCAATGAGCATTTTTTTAATCAGTTGGAATTTATATTATTTATTTATTTAAAACATAATTTTCTCTTTTTTATTTGATCCCTTTTTCACAATAAATATAATTTAAAAGTAACATAAAAGATCTCTATTATTTTAGTGTGGTACTATTCATTCATTAATTTCCTTTGGCTTTAATCTCTATTTCAGAGGTTGCCACAGCGGAATGAATCGCCAACTATTCCAGCAAATGTTTTATGCAGCGGATGTCCTTCCAGCCAACCCAGCACAGGAAAAGATCCATACACTGTCACACACACACTCATACACTATGGCCAATCACCAATCTCATTCCTGGAGGTCCAGTGCCCTGCAGGGTTTAGCTCCAACTTGCCTCAACACACCTGCCTGGGTGTTTTAAGTATACCTAATAAGACCTTGATTAGCTTGTACAGGTGTGTTTGATTAGGGTTGGAGCTCAAATATGCAGGACACCGGACCTCCAGGAACTAGTTTGGTGACCCCTGCACTATGGCCAATTTAGTTTATTCAATTCACCTATAGTGCATGTCTTTGGACTGTGGGGGAAACTGGAGCACCCAGAGGAAACACGGGAACAACATGCAAGCTACACACAGAAATGCGATCATCTTGCTGTGAGCTAACAGCGCTAACCACTGAGCCACCATGCCACCCTTTTTTGGTACTTTACCTGACCTCAAACAAATCATTAATTAGATATTTGTGTTTTTCAAATATATTTTAGGAATCTGAATAAACTATTTCACTTTCATTTGTTCAATATTTTTGCTTCGGCTTAGTTCCTTATATATCAGGGGTCACCAAAACTGCCAACTATTACCACCCTTCCAGCCGCAACCTAGTACTGGGAAAAAAGTTAATTTGTTAAATGCAATATAATAATGAAAATACTAAAATAATGTTATAATCTAAACATTTAACTCATTAAATTAGCAATTTTACACCAGTTCTCAAAGTATTACTGTAATTTAAACCACCATTTTATTTTTTAAATGTCTTTATTTCTTGTCAAAATCTATTGTTAGATAGATTTTTAAGTTTTTGTTCAATATTGCTCATGTAATTGTTTGGCTGTGCACCAAATACATTTTTAAAAATAATTAGTTTTTTATGTTAAGACACACTTTTTGTGATGCTTTTTAAATATATTTTTTTATTAGCCCAACCCAAAACGACACCCAATAACGTATCATCAGCGAATACCTTACAGAGAGGAAAATCTGAAACATGCCCACCATATATGTGATTGCCTTCAACAAGTCCCCTTCCTCTCTCTCCAACCACCACTCCATCTGAATAGCCGTAACAGATGAAGTTATTGCGGAGGACTGGATCACCTCCTCGACGGATATCAGCACCACCCCACTGATTCTGCCTAATCACGTTCTCTATCAGACACGGAAGCAGAACATCGATTGAGTGTAATTTAATTGAGCGGTGTCAAGAGCAGGAGCAAACACTTCAGAGCACTTAAGTGCTTGAATCTTCAATAAACAATGAAACAGCAAATGGAAAAAAAAATGCCACAGCAGCCAAACAAACCAGTGATCAGTCCTCTTCCGTTCTCATTGACAGCAATGCCTGCTGCGAGTCCTTGGAAAATGTGATTCCCACTGTCATGAGGAAAGAAAAGGAACAGAAATCAGAGCATTATAGGCCTTATGACAAACATTACATGAACAAACATAAAAAAAAGTCTCATTGAATGACATTCATGTCATTTGTATGTACAGTGGTCCCTCGCCATAAGTTAGTTCATAGTTCATAGTTCACCTTTCGCTGTCTTGCAGTTTCACAGATTTTTTTTTTGTGCAATTTGACATGCTTTTTTTACAGTGCATTGTGTTCTGTGTCCCAATTTGCGCATTGTGTTCTGCGTCCTGATTGGCTGTAGACCATTGTTAATCAACCTCCTTCATGCCGGGCTTTACAGCCTTAAAGCATATATAATAATTGTAAAAATAAACCGGACTACGTCATGGATTTCACCTTTGCAGGCTATTTTTAGAACGTAACTCCCGCGATTAACAAGGGACCACTGTACATCATTAAAGGGACAGTTCACGCAAACATTTAAATTTACAGTAAAAGGAGCAGTTCTGGGAAAGAGATCTGGAAAAATGCTAACTTTAAGCTGATTACATTAAAAATGCACTTCTCTCACTACATGCAAAATCTTCATCTGCTCATATAACCTACCTATCGTAATGTTTGGCCTGAACATTTTAATTGGACGGACATATTTTAGTCCTAAGCCTTGCCCAATGTATAGAATAGTTAATTAATATTAATATGTTAAGATTAACAAATTATTTAGTCAGTTTGGCCTTTTTAACATGAATTTTATAAGACACTCTTTTCATTTATATACTTCCCTGACATATTATATATATATATATATATATATATATATATATATATATATATATATATATATATATATACATACAGTTAAAGTCAGAATTATTAGCCCCCTTTTGATTTTTTTTTTTTTTTAATATTTCCCAAATGATGTTTGACAGAGCAAGGAAATTTTCACAGTATGTCTGATAATATATTTTCTTCTAGAAAAAGTCTTATTTGTTTTCTTTAGACTAGAATAAAAGCAGTTTTGAATTTTTATAAACTATTTTTGGGACAAAATTATTAGACCCTTTAAGCTAATTTGTTTTTCGATATTCTATAATGATGGTTTGTTCTGTAGACTAAATTGCCTAATTACCCTAACCTGCCTAGTTCACCTTATTAACCTAGTTAAGCCTTTAAATGTCACTTTAAGCTATATAGAAGTGTCTTGAAAAATATCAAGTAAAATATGATTTACTGTCATCATGACAAAGATAAAATAAATCAGTTATTAGAAATAGGTTTTTAAAACTACTATGCTTAGAAATGTGCTGAAACAATCTTCCCTCCATTAAACAAAAATTGGGAAAAAAAATAAACAGGGGTGCTAATAATTCAGGGGGGCTAATAATTCTGACTTCAACTGTGTATATATATATATATATATATATATATATATATATATATATATATATATATATATATATATATATATAGATAGATAGATAGATATAAACAGAAATAAAACAAAATAAAATATAACTAAAGTCAATTAAAAGTATGACAATGTTTTAGACGATGTTGGGAACTCACACCAACATGACATTTAGCTTGGTTTACACTGCCCACTTGTGGTCAATTGGGGGATTTTAGAGCACCACATCAGACACTGCAAGATTCACTTTTCTGTTTGCTTAAATCCTGAGAACATCTTGGTGCATATATCTTTCTCTTTGTCCAAATAGGCCTTGTAGCAGCTGTTAAATGATTGGTAGATATGTTTAGCTGTCACATATGTAAAAGAGTTGGTAAAACTATAAGAGAATAAGGAAAACTTACTGAGCAAGCTTTATCAGCAAGGTGTTGATATCAGGGTCAAATGGTTTTTTTGCCTGAGCAAGTGTAAGGTAGTCTTGTGCTTTCTCATAGTCCTTCATCTCCAAACAGGCCTGATTTGTGTTTTTAGGAAAGAATAAAAAAAAATGAAAAAATAATACAAAAAAATACAAATAATGTTAAAAATGAAAGCTTCTAATGTGATAAATGAGAAGTCATTGGTAAACTGAATAAATATTAAGCAAAACTATAAAAGACCTAATTGGATTTTGTTTCAGCCAGCTAAACATCATCAAATTAACCTATTAATCTACACTTAAATTATTTTATGTGCTCAATAACAAATAGCATGTCAAGTTATTTAGTTATTTTAAGTTTAAAGTTTAAAGCATTTTAAGTTTAAATTTAAAAGAATTCACAAAAGATGTCCTCAAAAACTGATAAATTACAGCAACAGAACGGAACTCAAGATTTTTCTTAATGCCTTATGAAAGGTATCCTTGATCTAATTTTTTTGCCTTTTTAATCTAATTTAATTAATTGCCTTGTTTTAATTTGTTTAATTATTTTAATAAGGTTTGAATATTTTTAGGTGTGAATCACACTTTGTATTAATAAATAAACGATCATATTATCTGATCACATTTTATTATTTTATTCCAAAGTGTTTATTTTTTTATTTAAGTCAAATTTCAGATGATTTTATTTTCTTATTTTAAAACTAACAGCTCTATTAATAAGTCTTGTTCATTAATAAATTAATTTACATGACATATGATGTGATAATGTGGCGAAGCCAAAGACAAATCTCCACTTGTGTATAATAAAGTCAGTCATAACTGAAAACAGTTTTTAAAAAATAAAACTCCTAATTTTAACATTTCTTCTGAAGTTGATAACAAAACAATATTTTTACTTGATGACATTTTTTATATTTTTTTAAACGATACAAAGCATTTAAGAAAAGCATTTTATTCAATGTCTGTACCTGAATACTATTAGATTCCTGAGAAAACCATCAAATAATGCTATTCGTACTATCTTGGTAAATTATTCACACTGTAATATTTTTCACAAAAAAAAAAAAAAAATCAATTTCAGTATATTATATTTCATATAAAAGACAGTATGTCGCACCTGGCCACAGCGGAAGAGTGCTTTAGTGTTCTGAGGGTTGATGTCCAGTGCTTTCTGACCATACACAAGGGCCTTCTGTGGTTTCTCCAGTTTGAGGTATGTGAATGACAGATTGAGCAGAAAAGGCAATTTAATTTCCTCAAGATGCTTCTTCTCTTCAGCATCCTCTGGTTCACGATTCTGCAGAAGTGTCATGGCCTGTAGCAGAGACCAACAGGAGCTAATTTTTAAAATAAACCACAAGTTTTGATGATAGGCTTTTTCCTCCATCCATTTACAAAAAGAAGTGAAAAAGCATGAAACCTGCTTGTATCTCTCTCGAGCATCTTCATAGCGTTTCTTATTGAAGCAGAGGTTGCCGAAGCTCCGCTGTGTGTCCAGCACATTTAGCAAAACAGACAAAGGAGCGGTATTCTGCTCTTCCTGAAACCAATATTAAAAATTACTATCTCAGACACCACAAACAAAGCAAAATTACCAAGCTTACTGCATTAAATCTTACCAAAGTCAAATCCATGAAATCATCCACTTGTGCTGAGTCCAGGAAATCAAGGACTTGCACCTCATAGAGGACTGTGGCACATGGAGGGATGTGAGGAGGACAGCCCAAGTCCCCATAGGCATATTTAGGCTTGAAGAGAAAACGGGAGAACTCGCCTTTCTTCATAGTAAGAAGACCAAGCTCTAGGCCATACAAAGTGACATCTATGGGGAAAAAGGTATGAATGACTCCTTACAGGGCAAAGAGAATTTAATGGAGAATCTTGATGTCTACCCATTCTAATGGGAGAGTTACAATCCCATCCTACCTTTACCAAGCTTCATCATTCGTGGATATTTAAGGTGGTTGGTTGTCTCAAATGGTGCGTCAGTGTACTCGATGAAACCAGAGAAATTAACTGTGGATGAAATGAGGTCTTGAAATGAGTAGCTAACAAACCAAAGAGAACATGATATAAAGGTACAGACACAACCAATTAAAAAGTGTAAGAAAGAAATTATACATTTTTTTCAGCAAGCGCACAATAAACCGATCACAAGTGACATATGAGTTTACAAAAAGATGTACAATTTTAAAGTTCAAGAAAATAACAAAGTTTTTGAAAAAAGAATCTGTTCTCATCACTACTTTAGCTTAGTCCCAGATT